GAGGGAAAGAAGGGGAGGGAAAGAAGGGGAGGGAAAGAAGGGGAGGAAAGGGATGGGAGGAAAGGAATGGGAGGAAAGTAATGGGAGGAAAGGAATGGGAGGAAAGGAATGGGAGGAAAGGAAGGGGAGGAAAGGAAAGAGTGAAAGGAGGGGGAGAGGCAGGCAGGACGAGAGACCGAGCGAGGATCGAGCAGGGGCAGGGGGTGTGGAGGCCCGGGCAGGGAGCACAGCAGCGCAGGCGAGGGAGGTCCAGGCCGCGGGCGCCCGCAGCAGCAGAGGAGGGCCGCAGGCGGCGCTCGACGGCCGGCCCGCCGGCCCGCGGCCGTGCGGCGGCGGCGCCGCGCCCAACCCACCCGGTATGTGGTGATGGAGCGAGAGTGTAGGTGCAGCACGTCTGTGCAGACGGTGTTGAGGAACTCGCGGGCATGGGACACCACGACCAGCGTCTTGGGCCACCTGCGGGGGCGTATGTGTGTGTGTGTGTGTGTGTGTGTGTCGGGTGGCGGGCAGTGTGTGTGTGTGGTGTGATGGCCAGGGCGAGGCCGTGCCTGCCCCTCCTCCACCCACCCTCAGCCACCCCTCCATTGAGACTGCCTAAAAGGCACACGTGACACACACACGCACACACACACACACGCCAGCCACCCACTTGAGCAGGTACTCCTGCAGCCACAGCACGGCGTGTAGGTCCAGGTGGTTGGTGGGCTCATCCAGCAGCAGCAGGTCTGCGGGAGGGGGGGAGAGGAGCAGCAGGAGCGGGAGGTGGAGGAGGGTGAGCAGGAGCGGGAGGAGGAGGCCAGCAGGGCAGCGGCAGCGGCGGCTGGGAGATGCAGGCATGCTGGCGCGCGGCCCACCTGGTGGGCAAGCACGGCGGCGGGCGAGGACAGCCCGGACGGCAGCCGACCCCCTGCCTCCCTCCTGCCCCTCCTCTGTCCTGCCCGTCCTCCTTCCTCCTGCCCCCTCCTCTGCCCCCCTCCCCCTCCTCCCGCCCGCCCACCTGGCTCGACGAAGAGCGCCCGAGCCAGCGCCACGCGCATGCGCCAGCCGCCGCTGAAGGTCTTGGTGGCGCGGCCCTGCGGGCGCGGGCGCGGGCAGGTGGAGTGGCGGCACGAGGGGTGCGTGGGTGTGCGTGGTTGAGTGTGTGTGGGGGTGGAGGTGCGGAGCGCGGCTGGCGGGGCACAAGGGAGGGCACAAACCGGGAGCAGGCGGCAGGATGCGGGCCGGCCAGGCAGCCCCAGAGCTGAGGCGGGCGTGCGCGGCAGGCGTGGGGGTGTGGCTGCTGACTGGCGGCCATACCAGTCTCCCAAGCCAACCAGGCAGCCCGCCAGCCTGCCTGCCCGCCCGCCAAGCAGCCAGCCAGGCGCCAGCTCAGGGCTTGCCTGCATGTCTGGATCGAAGGAGAGGCCCGCCAGGATGGCCGCCGCCCTCGACTGCGCGCCATACGCGTCTGCAGCGGCGCCGGCAGGGGGGCGGCGGCGGCAGCGGCACGCTCACCACCCATGCACCGCTCGCCCGTCCAGCAGCCTCGGCAGGCACAGGCACGGCAAGCATGCAGGGTTGGCATGCGGAAGGGCAGCCTCCCACGAGGCAGAACCCATTCAAAAGAGAAGAAGAGGGCCGAGCAACTACGGGGCCACTTTGTTTTACCCCCGCAGC